AAAAAATCAAAATAACTTTTCATTTTCTATTTATATTCCTTAAAACACTTATATACACACATAGACATCTGTTCAGATGGTGACAAAGTTGTTACAAACTGTAAATCGTTCTTGCACAGCTAAACGGAAAATGAAATTACTTTCACTGTGCATTTTAACAATTCCAATTAAAAAAATTAAAAGTGGAAATTTCTCCTATCTTGATCGATCCAGTCCTCATACCTTTAAATAAATCCCATGTCAATAGAATCTATATATATTTATTCAAATAATTAAAATAATACATATTAACTTAACATACTCTATATATACTACTAAACTCTCGTATCTGTTTCATACTTTGTAACCTTTGATTAGATAAAATGCTGCACCATAGAGCAACTACTTTTGAATCAATGTACCTCAAATGGGCTAGCTTACAGAATGTGTCCAAGATCTGGGACACATGACTCCTGCGGGATTGAAACTTGGTAAAGTTGTAGCTATTTCAGTGCCACCATACCAGAAGCCCATAGGTTGTGTGGTGCAAGGGAAGATGGGCATCCCCAGCCTCTTTCTCACCTTTCTCAGGCTTCAGCAACCAATTGGTGGTGGCAAGATCCAGAGGGTGAGTAACTATTGGTTGCTTTGGAACCAAGACTGAAATTTGAAATCTCTTTAATGGCAGTGGCTGATGAAGGAAGAAGGAGGAGGAACTCAGATGCCTGCTGGCAATGTAGGGCTGGCTGGGAGATGCCAGTAGGCAACTGGTGAGACCTGTTCCTCGCTAGAGGGAGGGGGCCCTTGGAGGCATGCCAAAATGGAGAGCGTGGGTGCAGTTTTCCTCATGCTCTGCATCTCCCTTTGTTTTCTCTCTATCCACAACACAGTGACAGAAAGTTCCAAGGGTCATCTAAGAAGGAGAAGGGAGAAGAAGGAGGAGGAGGCTCCAACGGTGCTCTCCTGAAGATCATGAGGGGAGGGGAAATGGCCCGAGCCTATATTGTATGTGGGAAGAGGAACACAATGGAGTGACTGGAATACCTGCTGGTGGGGAGGAGGTTGGGGAGAAATTTTGATCTGTACTATTTCTTTCACAAATAAACCTACTGTGAATTTGGGTATGGGTTATTAATAGCAGTTGGAGTAATTTTAGGTAAAAAAGGGATTGGCAAAGGAAATATATTTTGTTTATACAATTTTTAAAAACAGATTGTGTGCGTGCACGTGTCTATCAAAACTAAAACTCCTTCATTAGTGAATGAATACCAAATTCCAAACCAAATTAGGCACATTTTGACAGATTTAGGAATTGTCCAGATCAAAGCTGAATATTTCCGAAGCATTTCAAGTCTAATGTTAACTCTTCATTAGTGATTCAGAATTTGGAAGGATACCAAGATACAAATACTGTCTGCAAAAGTGGATATTCCTCTTTCCCCAGTCATTCCCCAGAGTAAGGCAAACATCAGGGTGAGAATTGTACTTTCAAGATACTTAAAATATATACGTTTAAAAAAATTGCAAACCTGAGAGCAAATTTAGGATGAGAAAAATTAAAAACTGAAAGAAATTGAAAGACTCATGTCCTCTTTTCCTCCCTAGTACTGTAAAAAGGAAATTGATTTTTATATTATATAGGACTGCAAAAATATTCATTATCCTGGTTCTGGATTTTTGGGGATTGTAGTATGTATGTTCTGGAAGGGAGTTATGACAACTGTAAAATATGTGTGTATGATTTGCATACCTCTGCTAACAGTTTATAACAGCTATGCCTTGTGTTCTGTTTTGTGGTTTCAGGAGCAGAAGGCACAGTGTTCCCCAAATCTATAGAAACTCCTAATGTCAGGGCAGACCCCTTCAAGGAACTAAGGTAAATTCTGACATTTAGTTCTAATGTAAACTCAGAGGTACCTTGCTTGAATTGTGCATTCTGGCTGGTGATATTTCAAATCCTGAAGTAATTAAGAACTACGCAGTTGCATAGATGTCACTGAATAGCAGAAAACAGTTATACTTCAAGTAAATCTGAATTTTTAGAAGAGCATTGAGTCATGGAATTAAAACTCTTATTTTTGTGACTGGGTTTTTTTTGGGGGGGGAGCTAGAAAGGTCTTTTTTTTGGTCAGTAATGATTGAGTATGGCCTCCAGATATCACAGAATGTCAGCAAGGAGAAAAGTGGTACAGTGGTCAAATTATTTTCTATACAGATAAAATAACTTGGTACCTCTATATAGCCATGACAGCTATCAATAACCTGATTTATGTGCTACTGGAAAAACATATCCTGTATAAAAGACGAATAGGCGAGTCACAATCCACAAACCATTACATTTCTTTTTATTCAATTTTGCCTGCTTCCAAACTCTTAATGCAGCTGTGATAAGGATACCTGGCAATCAACTACCCAGCACTTTTATAGAAACAGGGCTCTCAAATACAGAAGCTAAATTTATTCCCAGCAGCTGAAGCAGCTGAATTCCAACTATAGTAAATGACTGATCCAGAATTAATTCATGCCAGTCATTTGTTTCATCTCCCTTCCCCAAGTACAGTTTAAAAAAATAGAATAAAAAAAATAGGATGAATGTCCTTGAATGAAATAGATGAATAAAAGGTCATAAAAAGCAAGCATTGTTGATATAGGCCCACAATTATATTAAAGCGGTAGCTAGATGGTGTCCTAGTGGTGAAGATCTCACCTCCAACTTGGATGGTTGAGAGTTCAATCCTAGGTAGTGGCTGTTGTGTTCTTTGTATTCCCCCCCCTTAATCCCCCATGCAGATCCTGATCACCCATTAAGGGTGATTGCCCTTCACCATTCATCGCCCATTAAGGGTGATTGCCCTCTCCATCTGCATACAGTTTCATGCCCGTTGCTGGTTGGCTAACTAGCAACAGGGTCTTGCCAGCCAATGGAACTGTGTGATTACAAGCCAGG